GATGCTTTAATCAGGGCTGATCCTGCCTTGAGCAAGGGGCTAGATGACCTAATGGGGTCCCTTCTATCCCTCCTTATGATTCTAGTAGTAAAAAGATAGCATCACATTAATTCTGGATTTTATTTTATGTATCTGTTGTAAATACATTTTATTTTTATTTAAATGAACCAAACTACCTATATGTATTGTAAACTTGACAGTGCAGGAATAGTTGTTATTGTTTTATTTTTGTGTGTTTTTGCATAACTTAGTCGATCATTGGTCCTAAATATCGACTGAAGTTCACTGGCACTATCACAATGCAAATAAAAACAAGATGTGGCTTTGAAACAAAATGCCAAGCTCTATTGTTAAAAAAAAGTTTGACTATGGTTTTAGTTTTTTATTATCTCCTTTTATTTTAGTTTATTTAATAATAATTCAGTGGGTGAAATTCAGCATGTGCAGAGTCAGCACAATGCCTGCGCTCTACTGAATTTCATGCATTGTTGCTAGGTTGCAATACCACCAGGTTGCAATACTACCAATTTTTTTCCTCACAAAGAGAAGGTAGGATCAAGCTTTATGGAAAAATCTCCAGCTTTAAATCATAAAAATATCAATGAACCACAGTGATAGGCCTCATTTATGTGGCACTTTGATATCCAAATTTCATATTGATTTTTTGGCTGTGCAATGGTGACTTCCCATAAATCTAACTCTATGGAAATATCCATACCACATCTCTGCATTTGGGAGCCTGCCCTGAGCACCTATTTATGCTCACATAGGCTAAACCTGTCTATGCAATTGTGAAATTGCTCTCCAGTTTTCTGTCATGGGTATGTTTGACAGAGTCCATATCAGGTGTCCCCAAAGTAGCTTAATTTCCATGTTTCTGAATTTGGTGTATGCAAGTGGGTGGGGTCTAGTTAAGTGCATCCTTTCTTGAGAATACTAGGGACGCAATGTCAGTATAAGCTAAAACAATAAAAATCATCTTGATTTCTGTTACTCTTTGAACTTTTTTTTTTCAAAGGAACTGGGCTCGGCCCTTTATTCTTAGCCACTTTGAGGATAGCTCTAGTCTTGTCCAAAGTGCAGGTAATTGGACACAGTGGCACATACTCACATTTCTCTCCTGCAGTCAAACATGTATGCTGTGATTCAACTGTCATTTTGGAAACGCTCCTTTGAGTCCTGCTGCCTATACTAAAAAGACTGCAAACCTTCCCTTGTACACTGCAATTGGAAAATCCCAGTGGAAAAGCACATTCCTTTACCATATCCTCCTCCTGGCACACTTGCACTGAAAAGGCTTGTTGATATTTCTGAAGTATTTATAGAGCTGCTTGAAAGTATATGGCTTCCTCCTTGCCCTCAGTAAAAACTGTTAGAAAGATATTTGAATTTTGATTTATAATCAATTAATTAAGAAACATCTTAAGAATGCATCTCAAGAGATTTCAAAGTGATTTAGGATTCTTAATAACCAACCCACAATCCTTTAAATCAACCCGATTGGAAGAAAACAAGCTACTTTTTAAATTAATTCAAGCTGGAGGCTGACCTCTTAGGAGCTGTTCTTAGGCAACATAACTTTAAAAACCAGCTTGAACAGGAAACTGCAGAACCAGAAGTCACCCACGGACTGAATTGTGTTAAGTATGGCTCAACCAGGCATAGCCAACCAGTGGCATGGCTGCCACAGATGGCACTGGCCACCTCTGCATGTGGCATATAGCAGACTGGGGAGGAAGCTGGAAGCACAGCAACAGAGGACAGGAAGCAGAAAGCAAAGTAGCAGATTTAGCAGGATGCATAGGGCTGGGAGCAGAAAAATCAGTGCACCACATCAGGCAGGGGGAAAGAATTGGATTGGCACTGGGGAAAAGCTGGGGTAAAGGCTAACTAGTGGCATTCCTACAAAAAAACTGGCCCCCACTGGTCTAAATCAAAACTACAGATACTTATCCTGTTACCTGGTGGAACAGGGGGCCTTCTTGGGGCCGATCTCCCTGTGGACCGCTCACCTGTTTCTGGGCTAACTGCCCGCCTTCTCACTCGCCACGCCTTGATGATTATTAATTAATTGATGATGATTAAGTGGGAGGCTGGCCATTTCTTGCCCCGATGCTGCAGGGGACACTATCTGCGGCTCCGTTCCTCCCCTACACTGCAGCCCAAGCTTTGCAGATGGCATCCAGATGTTATCCATATCACCGGCCCCGCACTGAGCCCCAGAATCCTACCAGATGGAACCCACTTAGATCCCTCCGTTCAGGCAGCCTATTCTGCCTTCATTCACGGCTGCATAGCTCCATGAGCTGCTTCCCCCTTATGGGTACGGTCCCCCCGGGACCTTTGGCTACTAGCCCTGGCCCACCTCCAGGCCAGTTGGAACCCCAGGCTCTCAGCTCTTGGGTGTTCCTCGCGGTGGGCCCCTGGCCTTTTGACCCTTCTGGTCCTGGCCCCAGCTTGGACCAGTTGGGGGAAGTCAAGACAGGTTAAGAGTCTATGGCCCAACTCTCTCTCTCTCTACCTTCTAGACCCTACAAAGGGGCTAACCCACCCAGTTGTGGGGGCTAGGGGTTAAGGCACGCCGACCCACCTTTCACCAGGGTGGTAACTGGCCTGGCATTTGCTCGGGGCTCCCGTGCCACTGAGAGCCCCACCAGGCCACCCACTCCTGGCAGGGTGCAGTTTTAGATCACACCCAGGACCAGGAGCCTCCTTACCATCGCCTACTGCTCCTCCCTTACCTCCAGATGATACCAGCAGCCTTGCAGCCAGGCGATGTTGTTGCCTAGCCTCGCAGCAGCAAAATGCCCTGTTTATATGGGCAGCCCTGAATCTAAAATGGCTGCACTAATCGGGCACCTGCCGGCTGCTGTCTTCTGGCCCCTGAAGTGGCAGGCACAAACAGTGTCCTGCCACACCTGGGTTAGCTTTTATTACCCCTGTTTTGTTCAAGGGGTTAACTGCTTTGCTTTCTTCTCTCCTACCCACCTTGCCTCTTCCAGCAATGGCATCTCCTTTTTCCTCCTACTTCCCTACTCTCTGTATTCTAATCACTACTTTCTATTTAGAAGCTCTGCTTCCTGAGTTCTTTCATAGCATCTCATGAAGCCTGCTGCTGATGAAAGCTCACGAATCTCTGATTTAGTCAGTCTATAAGGTGCAAATCTACCTGCCTTCTGCCTGACTTCAGACTAACACAGCTAATTACTAGGGGCTGTGCAAAATTTCACCGCTGTTTCAAGCCATTTCGACCTTGAAACAGCAAAGTCGAAACGAAACAGAGAGGCTCAAAACAGGGTTGAAACGAAACAGGGCAGGTTGAAATGTTTCAAAAAGTTTGAAACATTTCGAATTTTGACTGAAGCTGGGCTTACCTTTAATGGCTTCCCTGCAGGGAAACAGAAAGTAAAGTAATGGGAGGGAGGAAGAGGAGCGGGGAAGGTGGGGGGGGGGAAGGAGTGCTCTCTTTATTGACACTCCTTTGACTCTGCTTTGGGGTCACTTACTGAGCTGTCTCAGACCACTACAGCTAGGAGCACTGATTTTCTAAAGGATTCCTGCTTGCTACCCTAGCAAAAGGGATTTCAGAATACCTTCTTCTTGTAGGTGCTTTTATTTTATTATTATATTCATTGATTTATTCTTTTGAATCTTATACTTATATTGGATAGGGTTACAATAGAATTTGCTCTATATAGGAATTTACTATATATATTTGTTTTTATATGGTCATTCTTTCCAACACATCAACACTTTTGAGTTTTTCTACACACACAGACATATTTCTATTGGGTTCATAAATCTCGTCACTGCAAGTCAGCTCACTTTGAGTTTGTCTACACACATGGACATATTTCTATCGGGTTCATAAATCTCATCACTGCACCACACTTACAGTTTTCAGTTTATATAGGAATGCAAATACATTTATATATTTATTGAAAAGGAAGACATGAAACACATCATAAAGTGTGGTAGAAAGGCAGGTGGCCATATTGGCCAGCCTTCAGGGAGGGGTGGAAGAGGGGGTAGAGGGAGAGCTGTAAGTTCCCCCCTGCCCACCAAACTGAGACGCAGCCTCTTTCCTCCAGCTAAAAGGGATGAGGCTGCTACAAGCAGCAAGGAGAGGGTAGCGGTGCCACAGCCACTGCCTGTGCCCGAGACTGCATCCCATCCACATGCAGCAGTCATAACCACCCCCACCCGCACCATGGTAACAACCACAACCAGCAGCACCAGCACCAGCACAGCAGCCCCCTCCACCCCTTTGTCACTTCCCATGCTGAGCCTTCCAGTGCCATAAGAAGAACTGGTGCTGGATATGGATCTTAGTGCCCTAGCAAGGGAAGTTATGGGGAGGGAAGGGGAATCAGCTAAGTTTGTATTTGGCACCCCTTAAGTTTCCCTTGAAGCCAGGTCTCCTTCCCCAGAAGGCACTTTGGAGGAGGCTTATGTAGAGGTGGAGGCAAGTGGCTCAGCTGAGTCCGCTCCTCTTGCTGTGCCTCTGCCTGCTGAGGAGGGGGAAAGTGCAGAAGCATCCACAGATGCACTCAGACCCCAGAACCAAGTGGGTAGTGTGGTCTGGGATCATTTTGAGCTGGCAAATGATCCCACGTACACTAACTGCTTGCATTTCCGAGCCAAAACTAGCCGGGGCAAGGGAACAAAACATATGACCACCACGGTGATATATCTCCACAGGCACCAGCCCTTTGGTCTTGCTCCTTCTCAGCTTGGCACCAGTGGAAATGTGCACAAAGGGAAGTCTCCCACATGCTCCAAAGCTCCTGTCCCCCCAAAGCAGAGGCAGGCCACACTGAAACAGTGGGAGAAAGGCAGACAGAAAGTGGGGTGCATTGCAAAGCCGAGCGAGCTCACCCAGAGCATTGGGGAGATGCTTGCTGTTGATGGCCAGCCCTTCTCCTTCATTGAGTGGCCAGGGTTCAAGCAGCTCATGGCACTTGCAGTCCCATCATACCAAGTGTATGAAGTATGTGTACCCTGTGTGAAGCATGTGAGGAGTACTTGAGGGACAAGCTGAGCAAGGCAGGTCCGCAGATGGCCTTACACTTCACCTTAGACATCTGGAGCAGCCGGGGTGGAGATCATGCCTACCTCTCCCTCACAGGGCACTGGTGTGACCAATCAGGCTGTCAGTGGGCTCTCCTTCAAGCCAAGGTGTTGGATGAGTCCCACACAGCAGCAGAGATCATGGGGGCCATGAACTGCCTGATGCAGACGTGGCTTGCTGGGCAAGGCGAGCTCACCCACAGCTTCATGGTCACTGACAATGGGGCCAATATATTCAAGGCGATCCGTGATGCCAACTTTATTGGCATCCGCTGTGCGGCATACAAGTTGCACCTCATTGCCAGGGATGCCTTGGATGGGGACAGGGCTGCTGGTGATGGTGCCAGCACCACCAACAACCTCATTTCCAAATGCAGAAAGGTGGCAGGCTACATCCACTGGAGCATCAAGGGGGGCAAGATGCTGTGGGACAAACAAACACAGCTGAACATCCCACAGCACAAAATCATGCAGGATTTGGAGACTTGATAGAACTCCACATACCTGATGCTCGAGAGGCTGGTGGAGCAACAGAAGGCCATCCATGAGATGGCCCTGTTTGGGGAGATCGGGATCACCAGCCCCCTGAACAAAGCTGAGTGGGATACCACCTCCCAGATCTTGGTGGTCCTCAAGCCTTTTCTCGAGGCCACGGAGAGCCACAGTGCTACTGATGCCTTCCTTAGCCAGGTGATCCCCACAGTGAGGGAACCTCAGAGCCAAATGGAGAGCTTCCAGGGGATCAATGTTGCTGGCTGGGGCAGGCCGCTGTCACCAGATGTGCAGGCACTGGTGAGGCAGCTGAAGGAGGGCATCAGGAAATGGCTTGATCCCTTGTGATCCAGTACAGTTCATATGCTAGCCACCATGTGTGACCCAAGGGTGAAGGGCACGGCAGCCAAACACTGAATCAGTGGACGGAGGTGCTGGTAAAGAAAGTCAGGGAGGCAGAATGGCAGAGGCAGGGGGACGTGGAACAGGGGGATCCACTATCTCATGCTTGAACAGGAACTGTCTAATGCTAGCACTCCATTCATAAGCCAGTCTTTTCCTCCACCAAAGGTGCTGCCAATATGGGCTAATGGCCTGGCTTCTATGGTGGGGTCCAGAGCCACCAGACCCCGGCATCAGGCAGATACAGCTGACACCTTGGTGACTACCTATCTTGCTGAGGATGTGGAGTCACTGCTGTGCGACCCCTTGCCCTACTGGGCAAGCTGCAGTCTGGTGTGGCCAGATCAGGCCACAGTTGCCTGTGAACACCTGTCCTGTCCACTGACCAGTGTGCTAAGTAAGAGGGTGTTCAGTATCACTGGGGATGTAGTGACACCCCACCACACCTGCTTGGATGCTGGTTTTGTGGAACAGCTGGTGTTCCTGAAGGCGAACCTCCTGCTGCTGTGGTTCCTCAAGCTCCAGGTGCAGATGGACTGAATGCCACCCTCTTCACTTGGTCCACACCTATTTCCTTTTTTCAAAAACCAGTTAATGCCCCACTCTCAGCTTGAGGGGGCACTAACTGCATCACCAACCAGCAAGGGAAGAACATGTCCCTGCCAGTACGAACTAGGAGGTATGGGATGGGGCTATGGGGAAGGAGGTAGTCCCAGGTCCTGGGCATGACCACTAAAACTGCACCCTGCCAGAGTAGGGAGGCCTGGTGGGACTGCTGGTGGTGCAGCAGCCCTGTAGATGCCAGGACCAATGATCCTCTGTTGAAAGGTGGGTAGGAGGTGCCATAACCTCCAGCTAACACATACACACACAGTCCTGGCTGGGGAAAACCCAGATCTGTCACATCTTTGACAGGCCTGACGCTTGCTGGTTGCTGTAAAGTTGTAAGGCTCCCAGTGTGCTTGGCTTAGCTGCCCGGGATGCCAGCTTTCGGACTGAAAAACCCTTTGTCAGGCTGAGGAAGTACCTGCAGTTGGTCCTGGATGGAAGGAATAGTAAAGAAGCCAGAGGTGGCCTGGCACACAATGCAGGCAAGAAAGCCAGTCAGTGAAAATGGAAATGGAGGCATCGGGGGTGAGGGACAGGCTGGGGTGTGGGGTCAGCAGCAAAGGTAAAAGTGCAGAGATACCGGTGGAGTCAGATGTCCAGCAGATTTCAATGTGCCAGAATTCCACTGTTTAATCTATATTGAGTCCATGAGTTTCTGTACCTGCTACCTAGGAGGCTGATGAAGTGCAGTTCATAGGCCCAGCTCTGATAAGTGGTTTGTAATTTCAAAGAAGCACCTAACCTCATCACCAGAACTGAAGCCAACTTCATACAGCTCAAAACACAAAACCTGCCATCTATCTCCAGTACCCCAACAAACTGCACATCAGAATCTATCAAACACAACAATAACTACCTGTGTCCCTGATGTGCAAGGCAGGTGACACAGGCCTCATGCCAGTTTGGCGCAATGGGAAAAAAGTCCTTCCTGATGTCAACAGGCAGACATATAGACTCATAAAAAACAGAGCTCTACCATGATAACTAATGGAGGAGGGAAGGACAGCTAACAGAAGCAAGAAGCTTGAAAAAGCTCAAGTGAGATTAAACATGCCAGGGAGTGTGCATGCAAGAATCAATCAGCTAGTCCTGTCCTTTCAGCCCCACTAAGCAAAAGTCAGAAGACCTGAGAATCCACCCCCATCTGACCACAAATACAGTCGTGCATGTCCTTCCATGCTTGCCCCTGAGCTATATTACACATCTTGCCATCCCCTTAAGATCCTTTCTTGTTAAATTCAGTGGAGTGCATAAGGTTGCTTCTCTACAGGTGATACATAGACCTCTGTACAAGTCAAGATAATCTATTTTGGTTAGAACAAGGGAATGAGCATCAAGAATCTTGAGTATCAAGAATCCAGCTGCATTGCTGGCCATGTGCATGTGTGTGGCTGTACACATGCACGTGGCATCTGGGGGCCCCAGCCAGAAGGCATATTGTATTTATCAGTGACATTATCAGCTACACCAGCCAAAAAAAGCCAATAGCCAATAATGTTAATTTTCCTTTTATCGGTGCTGATCCAATATAGCACCAATATATTGGTGCAACTCTTGATATATTTATTACTGCACATATCCATCTTGTTCCTGATGTTTTATCCCTTACGAGTTACATTTCGGGACAAAAATTCTTCAGTTACATCTCTATAATGCTAGAGCAACTACACTGCATTTAGATGACTCAAGATTCCCACAAATTTCACCAAACTGTGAGTTTAGCCCTGCAAATCTTACAATAACAAAATCTCTCGAGTTCATAGCTAATAGGTTCTTCTCTAAATGCATAAATAGCTTTCGTATTTTATTTTTAAATCTAATAGAACTGAGTGATATATCATGGGACAAATCATGCCTTCGCATGCAAAAACCAAAGGGAGAGCACAAAACCTGGATTCTGCCAACAAACCACTTGTCCACATGCTTAAATTTTATGCAAAAAAAGCCTAAGAAATGATGGGGGTTTTCCCTAAATTGAAAAAAAAAATCATTATACAATGCTTCACAAGCAACTATACCACACAAAATTAACAGAAATTCTTTTGGGGGAGAGCATTAATAAATACGGTATTAAAACTCTCATTTGGTTGCATTTGCCTGAATTCAAACAGTTGCCAGGTTTGTCCCTATATAAGGATCTTAAATCTGATCGAGCCTTTCCTACTGCAAGAGCTCAATTTTTATAAACTATTTAAAACTAGCTGGCTATCAGACCAACTTTATAAACTATTTAAACCTAATATTTGTTGATTTAATAGCTATTTTATGAATTACAGTGTAAATGTACCTCATATGAATACATTTCAAAAGCATGCATATACTTTACATTAAAAAAAATGTCCACCTCTCTTTTGGTTTACACTAATAAAAAATCCAGGCCCCCAGCTTCAAATGCTTTGGGTCATTAAGTAAATTGATAAAATAATAAAAGCTTTCTGTTGCTACAAAGAAGGTCAGTATACACCGGAACATTTCTTCTGTCTCACTTTTCAGTATAATCAAAGCACTGAAGCACAAAGAGTGAATCTAATGGTTATAAGTGATGCAGAATGATCAAGCTGTAAGTCCAGTCATAGCCTGGTGCTGCAGTGCAGCATCTGATGCTGTTCCTTGTGTCCCCCGTGACACTAGCATAGGTCAGGTGCCTGCTTCCTTTTAAAAATGACACAAGTGATTTTTTTAAAAAAGGTCATAAGCTCGATTTGATCACAGCATATTGAGAGAATTCTTTAAAATAAGCATGAATACCCAATATTATTTGTTGCATAAATGTGTAAAGATGAAGACTAAACGAAGAGAGGGAAATATGGTATGTGGTACACATGGAAACCACTGTGAATACAGATGGAATTGTTATGGTTCACCTAATGCTTGTCTGCTTTCATGAAGACAATAAATGACATAGCACAGTAACTTAATTCTATGTTTGCATACAGCATAGTATAGCAGCAGCGCCATTTCTAGAAGACAGCTATTAGATAGAAATTGTGTCTTTTCTCCCTACTTTAATATTTTCTCTATGATTTAAGCATTTTATGAAATAAATATGAGGTATAATAAATATGAGGTATCAAGATAATCACCTCTGCCAAAGACAGAAAGAAAAAATATTCAGGGGCATTTCTGGCTGCCCTCCACAAACCTACCTATGGCAAGTTGAAGAATATAAAAATTCTTTGTCTGGTTGCCATGAAAACTAAGTGAGCTTTACCTCAAAGGAAATGATGTTATGGTTACAGGCTAAATAGCAAATGAGATCTGCACAAGCCTACCTCAGCAATACATGACTGAGTAAGAAAGATTCTCTCTGACATCCAAGCATGTGGGGATTCTGATCAGCTCTTTTTATAGCGTGATCATAGAAAATTGTCCATGAATTCCACCGTGTCATTTATTCAGAGATTATAGCCTGTGCATAATGTATGTTTTGGGGTGCTCACCAGTACTGGAAATTAAAATAGATTATAACTGTGATTTTCAATAGCCTTCTTAGGTTGAAATCTATTAACTTGAAACAATTCTGAAAGTCTTCAAACCTTCAAAATATTCTGTCCTCTTGTTAT